ATCGCAAAACTTTCAGCCTAAAAATAGACCCTCTTTGACCCTGGCCCGCTCGCATTGCGAGTCTTGCAGGCCCGAACGTTACGCCACTGCTGGACCCGTCGATACACTAAAAACTGTAGCGGCCTTTTTTACAAACGTTTCAGCTAGACGCGCACCAATAATTTTTTTTTGAAACTTTCAAATCACCCTTTTTGCACGCCTCACTTAAGAACTGGTGTACCCCAGAGTTCGGAATATGCAGATAAATATAGCGTACAGTACATTAAAGTAACGTAATATAAAAATAATAACACAGTGAAAGTTGGTTCAGAACTACCAACGTGGGAGAAACAGTAGGCTTTGTAGGACGGTAATTCCAACATTCTGTCCATCCTCTGCACATTAATGAATGTACTAATTTTAATGATATATTGCAATGTTTTTGTTTATTGATTTTGTGACAATAACATTATTAGCCCCGAGAAAAAGTTTTGATATCTAGGGAGAGGGTTAACAGGATTTTTTCCCCTCTCGGATGGATTCGCTTCAGCTTTTACACTTGAGGATTCTGTTTACGAAGCAGAAGAGAAGAAATATCAAGGGTCGCGACAGCGACCAGACGAGCGAAGGTTCAAATCAAATTTCCCCTTCCATCTTTGTTCAAGGAGATGGAAAAAATGTTCATGTATCTCAACGTATGTGGCTGTGAATTACATCACGGGCTAACCTCATCACTTCGTTCGGGACTGTATCCGAAGGATAAATCCCGAAGGCTCAAGGCTCATTGACAGCCGCGAATTTATGTAAGGACTGAATGAAGAATTTCCCAGGGCGGTATTTTTGAGGGGAGGCTACTTTTCTCAGTTAAAATATGAAACGAATTATATTTATAAACATAATTTTAATGTGTAAATTTATATATTTTTAATGCATTTATATCAATAAATGAATGTAGAATTTATTTCACAGGTTTCAATCTTCAACGTATACTAATTATATCAGTCGCGATGAAATATGTAACACAAGGGGCTGTTTTTTGATTCGGGCAAAAAAACGTATGCACAAGGTACCGATATTTAAATCCTGATTGAAATTAAATGATTTTTAATAATCTGTATACATAATAATTGTCTGGTTTTCATCAACAGTTTCTCAAATGGTACCTTTTTAGGTCTTGCCATTACTTTCATTGTTGAACTGTTCAAATTAATCAATAAACATTTTGCACAGATAAAAATGATACAATGATCGAATATTTGTAACTAGTATTGCTATATTAGCACATACAGATAATATTATATCATTGCAACTTGTGTCCTACTAATTCTTCAGTCATTTTGTCAAACTCTCTTCACCAAGAGAAGTGCGGGATATTTACATTTGTAATTTTTGGTTTTATTAAAAATAGTTCTGAGACAAAATTTATCAGCGCACCTTTATCTACTAGAGGAGGAAAAATAAAGAAAAAATCTGCTGCGAATCGTGGGAATTGAAGCCCGGGATTAAAAGTTGGAAATCGCAACGAAAATCTCATAGCTACCGTTCAAATTGATTTTTACAGATACGATTTTATTGGGAATTTCGAGTAACTGGAGCAAGATAAAAAAACTGTTTTTTCACATTACTTCTTAAGGTTTAAAGGTATGCTTCCCCAAAAAATTTTGGATATGATGCAATATAAAAATAAAAACCGATCGGCTCGTTATAAACTCTCGGTAGAATTGGATGTTTTTGAAACATCTGGCGGTACAATTCGGAAGATTTCGCGGCGTGCAATTTGGTAGTTGGAGTGAGTTTGAGGTTAGGGGATAGGTGATTGGAGTGATTGACTTTTGGTGATTGAGTTTGGGTATTGGGGGATTAGCAAACTACAGCAACACGAGGTAGGCTACCGAAAAGTGTTTGGATTGGCGGCTCCCTTAATTTTGTGGGGTGGAGTTCGTTCTTTCAACAAGTGGGTGTGTTTTTAAAAGAACCCTTTCTTCGTGGTCAAGGTCAAGTAGCCCTATTCAGATAAAAGATGTTTGTTCATGAGAGTGTGTCTTACAGGACTTTGACAAAGTAAATTTATAATATAAGAAATCTTAAAATGAAAGGAAACAAACCACAATGAATTTTGTAAATATTATGCATTTATTCATTATTAATGAGAGAGTTGAACTTAGTCCCATAATTTTTCACGGACTGTCAATTGTCACTGATTGTGGAACTTAACAGTATTAATGAATTAACTAAAAAGTACCCGAAAACTATTTCGAATGAGTGAATATTGATCACTGTCCCGTCAACTGCTTTAGTGATTGGATCCATAAATACTATGCATGCTATATCCCAAGAGGTTGTGTTGTTTCTCTTCCACTGAAATGTGAGCTCCGGCACTGTCCTACACACAGAGGAGAGGAGAGTTTATTGTTTTCATGTATTCAATGTTTTCTCGTACATTAACGCATCAACGACATCTGATCTCTGATTATTTGCTTTAGCAGCAAATAAAATTAGCAATTTATAATAATACGATGGCGGCGATGGTCGCTACCGACTTCTGATGTCAGAGCGTCGTTACCAAACCAATAATGACCGCTGGAATATGCATTTCGAAACAGAGCAACCCTGATGTTGCTGTCAACCAAATGCAAATTCAGGAACAAATTTCATTATTAAATAAAATGTAATATTCTTCAAAACTGCTCGTTCTAAAACGAATAAAAGGTAATTCTCCTTCTCTTTAAATGGAATGCTCCTTAACTGCTCCCAATTAAGAAAATTCATTCAAATATCGCGATAACTACTTATAAAGAAAAATTGATATGAAATGATTTCAAAGTCTAGTATTTTAAAATGGAATGAATTTAGAAACGAATCTCCAGCTTGAATAGTAGAGATGCAGAACAGGTTCTGAAAACAATGAACATAGCCAGAAATATAATTAAAAATTACGCGAAACGACTTATATTTCGAAAAAATATGTGAAAATGATTTAAAGATCTAATTTTGATAAATAGTGCATTGAGAATGAAATCTCTACTTTTAATATTGAATGTAGTACAAGTTCTCAAAAATAAGAACTTTAATCGCCAAAAATGATAGATTTATAAATAAAGTATTGATTTCATAAACAAAACTAGTATCAATATTGTAATTTTGAAATTTTTAACTTTTGCAATTTTAAACTCACAGCATTCACCGAAAATAGGATATACATAATTTGTTAACATACTTTGCGGTATTCCAGAAAAAAATAATCAAAAAATCTGGTGTATTTTTTTAGAGAAAAACTTTTTTAAATAGCCTATATTTCACACAAAATTATGCGAAAACTACTCATAGTTCGTAAAAATTGTACATGACCTTTTTTAAAGATCTGTGTTTGAAGAATAAATACTATTAGGGAAAAGATATGTAATAAATAATGTTGTTGAAGAAAGACACCGTAAAAAATTAACTTTTGTAATTTTTTTAAAATTCAGAGATTTTTGAAAATGGGACCTGCGCCATTCTCTTAAGCGTCCTTTACGTTATCAGACGTTTACGTTTACGAGAAAGGATAATTAAAGAATTTGGATCCATTTTTGATCAAATTTTGGAAATGTTTTTAAGGTTTCATGTAAAGTATCCTCAGAAATCAAAATATCCATTTGATATTCAGGGAGCCTCGGCATCCGCCAGATTCATCCAGGATTAACAGTTCTAGGAAAATCCTGCTTACGGTTTACCGGCTAGCATTGTTAACAGACAGAGATACGGGTGGACGGACGTTTTACTATCAACTGTCAATTTTTCGCCAGAAGTTCGCCAGATTTTGACTATACAATTTTCTATATGCTACATTAAATAGCATACACTTCTCACTTTAAGTCGTGGTAGTTTAGTAATTTGTAGGCATTTTAGAATTCCCTGGACTTCCTCACGGGACCAAGAAGTTCCTTTTCTGCATTAACTACTAGCAATGCTAAATTGCTCCATAGTAATTTACAAATTGTGTGTAGAGCCTAATAGAGCTTCGGAGAGCAATAACGAGATAGTCAGTAGGTCACCTCGAGACGTGATTCTCAACATCTTGAGTGCACTAACTGTAGATCTTGGCGTAGCCCCAGTAGTTCCAACCACCACTGGCAGGATTCTGAGCTTGGGCACTCCATAAAGTTGGTCTGCCAGGGGAATGACTGCTATTGTACCACCATTTCCTCTTCTGATTTCAGAAAGCAAGGTTCATTCTCGTGGCGGACAATCACTTCAACCACGTGGACCCCTTTCCGGCTTTTTATTATCAAAACAGGTTTGAGTCTAACCCCTTCGGCTACAACGGAAAAAGTGGCTTCCGTGGACACCACGGTGTCCGAAGGATGTTATTAGATGAAGTCATTTAATATATATAGAAGCAGAAATTCTCAATTTTCTTATTATCAGGGACACTCAATACGAGTATTTGCTGAAGTATTGCCGTTTTCAATGGCTGTATTACAATACATTATACGTCGTAACTGGTATAAGAGAAAGGAATTTTTTCTGTTAGTAGACACTTATAAACAAATTGAGATTTTTTCTAGCCATTCCTTCCTGGATGACCCAGCTAGAAACCACCGACATTTCGTGTAAATTCTGCGAGTTATATAATTCTGATAAGTAACAATGTACCTAAAATTTTTCTCTGAGAGGAGGAGAATAGCTATAGTAGTCACATGAAATTATGTTTTTTTATAAAGAATTTTTACTTATCTGGAATAGAAAACGTTTTCTTATTTGATGAAACGTATTTTTACAGTTAATATTTATAATATAGTTAGCAATTGGAGGGCATTCGTTAGTATAGAAAATGAGTAAAAGTCGTATGTTTAAATATGTACCATGGATTCGGGGGTAAGGGAACAGTAGCCCTTTGCGCTTGCCCTGAAGCACGAATGCTCCATGCCTTGGGTGCGCGAATGCTGACAAAACAGTGCAGTGGTGCATCTTGACAGACACTTTCCAAAAAGAAGTAAACGTGTAAGAATGTTATTGAAGTGAGTACTTATTCTTCCTCAATGGTGTGTGAAATAAATACAATTACGATTTCCCCATGCACGCAACTGCTAATGCACTGGTGTTCGGCAGATCGATCGTTCTGACGCAGAGACATCATTTACCCGCCGAACACCACTGCATGGGGAGTTGCCTAACATTCAGGTGCAAATGTCAGAAGTGTAAATTAGTTATATGACATTTTCCCCCACCTATTCTTTCGCAAAGAAATATCATCTTCGCCCTCTCTACATGGCCTGAATGTTTATAAAATTTATTGTCAGAAATTCTGTATTTGTTACAGGCATATACAGTCTTGTAGATTTATTTAAAACAAATTGTAACTAATGCATTAATAAATTGATTAGAAGATATGAAATATATCCGTTGTTGATACTCAATATGGTCTCAAAATTTGTTGTGAGGAAGAAAATATTTCTTTTGACATTTAAACTTGTGAATCGATTTATTGTTGGCTTTTGGAGGTACTCAGGTCAACTTGTTTAAATGGAATCTTGGAGATATTTTAAGCTCTTGGAAAGGTCCGTAGATTGACGAGTTCAATTAGACTCATCCCGGTGAAAATAAAGCGATGTCTTTTATAAATGAGCAATATTCTAAACAATTTAGTAAATGAGTGGGCTTGACTACGATCTCCTAAAGTACGTTTGAAAGCAGCATTTCTCGATTCAATGTGATGCAACCGTGCGTGATCATGAAAATGCGTGAGTGTACATACACAACTGTTTTTATGATTTTCGAGGCGCCAAAGAGGATATTTTGTCACGAATTTTAACAATTTTTAATTAACGCTTATGCTTACTTTACGCGCCTATTCGGTGAACAATGATATTATTGACTTTTACCATCAAGTCATTCATCCGTAATGCTTTGCACTCTCCATTTCTTTCTCTGTATGCTTGCAAATGAATATTGGTTAATGTTTTTTGTTATTTCGAGATTTTGATTATAGGTGTTATGATAAAATTTGATGTTGACTTTTTCTTGCTAAAATTTGAAGTGAGAAGACACCCAAGTATGTATTTTGAGCATACAGGTAAAGAAAATGCAAGTTTTGTCTGTAAAATGGAAGCAAGATAATGATTTAAATGGTATTGTTTCTGCTTATTTCAATCTGTGTAGAATTTTTTGAAGGTGAAACTTTTCGTGACTGGTTATGACCACAGATTGATTCATAGGATTGAAACAAAACGTTTAACGCTTATATTCTGGCTAAACTTTGTATCGAATACAAAAAACCTTCATGACATTCTGAACTTCTCCTGGTAATACCTACACAACAGTGAAAATCACAACTAGATACGACCCAAAGGAGTCGAGAAAAATTCCAGTCAAATAAGTGAAAACAAGGCTTGAATGGCGTAAAAATTCCCAACTAGGCTGATATTTACAATTTTGTTTTGACATCGTACAAAAGACGTGCAAAATTATTAAAAAATATTGCGCCATTCTGAGATAACGAAGATAACGAACACAACTATTAATTGAAATACATTTTCGTTATTTTTATTTGAAGAAAACTAATTCAATTGCACAGATTTGATATTTCATCAAGGGTTAAATTCACTACAAATTTTGAATGCGTTGAACGTCACTGAAAGCTCTTATGAACCCCTTTTCATCTGTGGGCTCGAATCCAAAGTTTTTCCTCTTTATTTCAACACTGAGGAATGTTTCACAGGGCGTTCGGCTGACCTACTTTAAGACGGATTCTACAGCATTCTCTAATGCATTTTTATAGCTCCCAGTGGATTACTTTCGGTAGGAGCAGAACGCAAAGGTCGGTTTTCATAGCCTCCCAATGTGAGAAAGGGCCGCAACGTATCAACTATTACCGGATGTTGTTTTTATTAACTTTGTTCCTACTGCAAATTCTATTTTTTAAATCCAGGGTAATTTGGAGGACGGGTGAGCGCGGAACTTGTTGCATCTCCGGGGACCAGCGCAGCCATTGGCGCCCGCGGTGCCCCGCCGCCGCCGCCCTCCGCCGCCCTCGCCTGTGGAGAGCGCGCATGCGCCGGGCGGCGGCGCCGGCGCAGG